AATTCAAGCAAAAACCAGTACTTGTAATAGTTTTTTATATTTTCCATGCTGCGCTTGTAGCAATTTCGGGTAAGAAAAATCGATGTTGCTTGTGTATTTTCACATCTTCATGGTAAAATTGAATTTAGATCCACAAATAACACTTCTTTCAATCTTCACTGTCAATTTACGAGTGTCTTAACTTTTTTGTATCCACATTTTGTTCCAAAGTACTCTATATACAGGGTGAACCAACGAAAAGGTCGCACCCCCTTTTGTGACTCCCTGGTATATTGTTGGAAAGACGCTCGGACACGTCAATTTTGACTTCTACAATACAATACAAGCTGATCCAAAAATAAGATATTACGATACGCTTTAGATTTTTAAATGGAAGCTCTAATTTTTTTTTTAATTTTTAGATTTTCCATAAAGTTTCCAGTAACTTTTGTATAATATTTTCAATCGTTGTGAAGCTATTTGAGTTTATAATAAAATTAGAACAACTTAATACTGATATTAAGGGAATGCACGGCAAAAAATAATAATCATGGATACCAGCAAGAACATTTAGCATCAGTCAGTGTCATCGTTTGTCATAGAAAAACTTTGTCTTTCATTTCAAATTGTTACGAGTTACCTACCTAGTTGTGATAAATATTGAACAATGACTTATTCAATTAAAGAAGGGGTAGAAATAACGAAACTGTATTTCCAAAATTGGGAGCATTGCAAGAGCTACTGCCATGTTGTTTAGTGCGCTACATCCAGACAAAAATAACAACGATAATAATTATGTGATAAGGAAATTTGAAGAAACTGGATCTGTGTCGAATATTCGCCGTAATCCCCATCGAGAAAATCAACCAGTTAGAAATAAAGCCGCAGAAATAGCAGTTTTGGGACACGTAGCACTTGAAAACACCCAAAGCACTCGTGGACTGGCTACTTCCTCAGGATTTACATGCCCAACAATACAGCGAATTTTGAAAGACAATAAATTTCACCAGTACAAGATAAAACTTGTGCCTTATAATGAAGACGATTTTGATAGCAGGTTGGAGTTTTGCGAATTATTGCCCCAACTTTTAATCAACAATGCAAATCTGTTTTTTAATACTTGTTTATCGGATGAGTGTACGTTCTATTTGGTGCTGTAAATAGACATAATTTTGGATATTGGAGTTACTTGAATCCATATTTGGTTCGAGAGGTACACTCGTAATGTCCTGAAAAAATACATGATTGGGCCGGCATTTTCGGAAATCATATTGCTGGAAACTTGAAAGGCGAGATCTGTTAGAAAATGCAATAGAGTTGCGAATTACCGAAATAATAGAAAATGAAGTGAATTATAATGAAAAATACATTCATTTCCAACAAATATGGTACACCGCCACACTATGTGGCTTCAGTACGACCGTGGATCGGTAGACGATGCCCCATCGAGTGGAAACCGAGATCTCAGGTCTTAAGTCCTTTAGATTACTTTCGTTGAGGGCATTTGAAAAGTAAAATTTTTAGTACGAATTCAGATCCATTTAAAATCTTCGTCAGCGGATGACGGCGGATAACTCAAGACATGCTTGAAAATGTGAAGAATAGATTCGAACAAAATCTTTATTATTGCATGGAGGTAAATGGACACCACTTTCAGCTCTTATTACCACATTGACCTACCTCTTTATAGCAAATTAATATGTACTTTAACTTTAATGTGCTGGTAAACTAAGTTGTTTTTTGTTTTTTAATACTCGGAGACTTGTTTTTAATTTTAAAGAAAAGTCTTGTTACTATGGAAACTATTTTTACGATATAATAATAAAATAATAATAATAGACGTCTTTATTTATCCACAATTATATTGTAGTATAGCCAAATGTCAGACTTATATGGCGAAGTTTAGCATGCTGCTACTCTTCCACTTAACCATATAGTCTCTAGCAGATGTTCAAAAGAATACACTATCCACAAACACATTTGGTTCATTACATCGAAAGTAAAATTCAAAAAAAGAGAAAAAGGCATACTTTCCAAACCCAAATGCACCAAAAAATTATTAATCTGAATTACAGATGGAATAAAAAAGAAATGAATGATTACGTAAATTGTATGTTTGGAGGGTTGAGTAATAATGTTTTAACTTTTTGTCGAAAGACAGGTGATGAAAATTCTTTATATACTTTAGGAAGGTCATTATAAATAATAGCAACATTGTAAGAAAAACTGCGTTTAAAAAGTGTAGATGTATGCAGGTGTATTCTAATATTATTTTCTCTGAGAGTTCTACGGTGAACATCATTATTAAATGAAATTTTTTCCTTCAAGTAATAAGGTTTAGACGTGAGCAGCAATTTGTGAACAAAAACTGAATAGTGATACTTGACCATGTCATTAATTTTTAACCAGTTATATTTCGCTGATACATGATCAAATTTACGTAAGTCAAAAATGAATCGTATGCAATTGTTTTGAATAACTTGAATAACGTTTTTAGTGAAATTGTCTAAACAAGTATAGTATACGATATTACAATAATTTAGTATAGATATGACCAATGCTTCACATAGTTTTTTACGCAACCTAAAATTTAGTAAATACCTGTTTGCTATAAGAGTGCGCAGCCGTAGGTAGGTTTTCTGAGATAGACTTTTAACATGTCCAATAAACCTTAATTTTGTATCAAAAACAACACCAAGAATTTTTGCAGAATCAGAAAATTGCAAAATTTGGTTATTTATCTGAATGTTCAAGAGCTGTGTTACATTGTATGTTTTTCTTTGTGCGCAAAATAATAACATTTTAGATTTTTGTGGATTAATAAGTAGATTGTGATCTAAACAGTATATTATTAATTTATTAACATCGTTTTGGAAAATTTGAGTAATATTATTGACATTATCTGGGTTAAAATAATGGAGCAATTGCGTATCGTCTGCAAATTACGACATGAGAATTATCAATACTGTTGCTTAAGTCGAACGTATATATGAGGAACAGAAGTGGCCCCAATACAGAGCCCTGAGGTACGCTTGAGGGAATTATTGTCACTTGAGACATTTCTTGATTGAGAAAAACACACTGAGTTCTTTGATGAAGGTAACTGTCGAAAAATGAAAGGGATACACTGTCAAGACTTATGTAATTTAATTTAGCAAGTAATAATTTATGATTGATGCCGTCAAAGGCTTTCGAATGGTCTATAGAGATTAAGGCTAGTGCCATTTTCTTATCTAAGGCACTTAAAATATTGTCTTGCAGATTAAGTAGGGCAGATGTTGTACTATATTTTTTTCTAACACCGGATTCAGTGTCGGGAAGTATAATTTTTCTAGGTAAGCGGTCAATTGGAACTGTATAATTTTTTCTAAAATTTTGGATAAAATTGGTAATAAACTGATAGGTCTGAGATCATTATACTCAGTGGGTTTAATTTTTTTAGGAATTGGAATAATTAGAGCTTGTTTCCATGTGTTTGGAAAGTAGCCTTTTTCCAAACAGTCGTTAAAGATGTGGACGATGTGATGGAGCATAACTGGCAGGCAAAGCTGGATCATTGACAGGGATATACCATCAATTCCCTTCGCATCAGACTTTAGGCTCCCTATTGCCTGTAATACGTCATTTGAACTAATCTTATTCAATGAAAAAATATATTCAGAGCTTAATTTATTTTTGAAATAGTTTTCGCAAACTAGTGAATCAACAGGTTTATAGCTATAAACAGACATAAAATAATCATTAATGTTGGGTCATTAAAACTTGCCGGAAGGGTTGGTTTACTACGAAGTTGTTTGAGAGACTTCTACAATTTTTTTGAATCATTTTCATTTGCCAGATTTTCGATATATGTCTTTTTGTCCCTCCTGATCATGTTAAGAGCACGGTTTCTAAGCGATTTGAAGTTATTATAGGCGTCCAGGGTCTTATTAGTTTTATATAAAGCTTGTGCAGTATTCTTTTCATCAATAACCCCTTATTATCACAATTTCTAGAATTTTATTATAAACTCAAATAGTTTCAAACGATTGAAGGTAGATATAAACTTTATTAAACAAATGTGACTAAGAAGTTCATGGATAATCTAAAAATTAAAAAAGAAATGGGGGTTTCCATTTAAAAATCTGAAGTGTAATGCAATATCTTATTTTTGGATCACCCTGTATTGTACGGCTATAGATTAAAAGACGTCCCCCTAGAAATCAAAATTGACGTTCCCGAGCGTTTTTCCCAAAATATGCTAGGAGAGTTAAAAATAAGAGTGCGATCTTTTCGTTGGGCCACCCAACATGTACAATGTTGTGCCCTTCGATAGCGGGCTGGCAAAATATATGCACTAAAAACGCTACTGGATATTGGTTTTTCTCAAATAACTTGTGAACGACACAGTGGAATCCAATGAAATGTTAACAGCTTAGTAACTAGTTAAGGCCTCATCTGGTGGTATTTACATAAAGACAACTCATTTAGACGCACTAACCCCAACGCAATATTATTGAAAATGCTTACACTCTCTATTATAATGGCCTGACGATAACATTTTTGGAAAGTCTGATCTTTAAGGTGAAAAAAACTACTCTTGTTTGATATCGATAAAATGAACCGTTTTCGATAAATAACACTTTTGTTCCCACGTTCAATTTTTGTTAGTTATTTTACTCCCCTGGCTTAAGGATTCATCTACTGGATAGTATGGGAACTATGCTCATTCTGGAATCAAAATGGCTTCTATCTCACACCGTTGCCGAAATCATCGCGCGTTGTGTTTTAACACAAGCAGTGTTTCGTGACAGAAGGATCAACTACTGTTACGTCACCTCTTTACGTATAAAACCCGCATTCATATTTAATAATGTAGTTTTTTCATTTACATATGACGTTTCTAATATGGAACGTGCTACGTAACACGCGCACTGTTAAACGTAGAGGGTACGAATGAAGATAGTTCCCCTACTCTTTTTCTGTCTCTCCCCTAACTCGGATTTTCAAATAAGCAACAATTGGTTCGTATTTTGTTCCAGTGCGAGTGATTCGTCGCCAGTGCGCAGGGGTGCGCACCGCCAGTCGTACCACCACCGTCACCGCCAAGCAAAAGCAGCGACGCCAACGACTCCTCAACTGTGGCGCAGGCCAGGGGAACCACCCGCACCGACGCAGCACCATCAGCAGACAAGCAGTACTTCATCCCCCTCCAGGCGCCACGGCTCGTCGCCCTCCTCTATTCCAAGGCGAGCTCGCAGTCGATCCAAGACGACACACGTAGTACCGATGCCAGCGACCTCTTCCTGAGCAACTCGGCTGCCTAAGAGATTAGCGATAGGTATGGGAAGAAGCGCTTCTGTCAAAAAAGTTGATAAAGGCACAGTACCACCGGTGGTACTACATGCTGGTACCATTTGTACAAATACCGATGCCATCATGCCATAAGCCTATTTGTCCGGAGTTTATAACTTACGTCCCCATAAGGTTATGAAGTCGATAAAAATGTGATATCATAGGGTAGGTAGTACCATCCATTCTTGTACCAATGTCAGCGCCCTCTTCGTGAATCCATCCGTTTGCAATTTGTACTTACATTCTCAGAGGGGTAGACAGTTTGTAAAGGTGTACCATCGGTGGTACCATAAGGTGGAACTACTTCATAAGTGCTGATGCCAGCATCCTCTTCGTGAACTGAGCTGGTTGGACTTATGTCTTCAGAAGATGATAAGCTTTATAAAGTGTAGTACCATCTCCGCCAGCGTCCTCTTTGTAACGTCATCCGTTTGGACTTTCCGTTTACATCCTCAAAGAGTTACAAAGTTAATAAAAGTGTTGTACCACTCGTGGATGTGTAGGGTGGTACTATCGATGCAATTACGATTTTCGTAAACTCATCTCTCCGTGCTTTTCATACTTACGTCCTCAGATGATTATAAAGTCGATAAAAATTCAGTACTATAGGGTGGTACCATCCACTCAAGTACTGATAACACCCGTTAACATCCGTTTGGGATATGTACTTATATTCCCAGAAGAGTATGAAGTTTGTTGAGGTGTAGCATCATCGGTATCATCGGGTGGTACCGACTTCTTAAATACCGATGCTAGCGTCGTCTTCATGAGTTCAACTGGTTGGACATACGTCTTCAGAAGGTTATAAGGCCCTATAAAGTGTGCCAGCGTCCTGTTTGTATACGTTCGGGCTTTCGATTTACGTCCTCAAAAAGTTATAAAGTTGATGGAAGTGTAGTACCATTGGTGGTTCTATCAGTGCAAGTACCGCTGCCATTACGCTTTTCGTAAACTTATCTATCCGGGCTCCACACTTACGTCCTCAGAAGGTTATAAAGTCAATAATAGTACCATAGGGTGGTACCATCGGTTCAAGTACTTATGTTTACACCGTCTTCGTGAATTCATCCATTTGGGCTGAGTACTCAAATTCCCAGAAGGTTATGAAGCTTTCCCAGCTGTAGGTACCATAGGGTACTCCCAAATTCAAGAGCACCTATGCTAGGGTTCTCTTCATGAACTCGATTGGTTGAACTTCTTGAGATGGTTATAAAGCTTTAGTACCATCGGTGGTATCGTGGTGTGGCGCCGATATATCACGTATACTTTCTGAGCTTGATAACCTTCTGAGGAAGAAGAAACAAACATTTTACGACTATTGTATCGTTTACATTATATCAGCTATCTTTGAGATTTTTTTCTATTTATTTCTACAGTCGGCAGTTCAGGATTTTGCGCTTTTTTATAGACTCTTATAAGCATTTCAATGCATTTTCAAAAACTGTACTGTTTAATATCTATCACTTTATCGAAAAATCTCAAAAATAGCTTATCCTTGGTTTTGGAGTTACTTATGGAAAAAGTTTACAAATTTTAATTATTATATCATCTAGGATAGCATGAAGAGAACCTTTTTGGATTGATAGTAATTAGAATTTGTACGTATGCCATGAAGTATGTTTAAGTATATCCTCCCAAAAAAAACAAAATCTGATGTTAGCAGAATAGTTCATCCCATGTATGAGCAAATATAACTTAGCATTTATTAATGACAAGTATTACAAAATGTCCGATATTTCTTTTTTCCGGGGATATCGTTGAAGGAAGTACATTTTTATTTGCCGATACGTAATACTATAATAACGCCCCTTAAATTAAAATGAGCCTACATATATAACAAATATTAGCACAAGTATTCCCACATTAGGAAGAAAATGTTGTGATTATATCCAATATCATCAAATCAAAACTTGAACTTTAATGCCAATAATTTTTTTACCTGCAGCATATACAATACTGCTCAGCAGCACAACTCTCGAAACGACACACGGCGGTGTATCTACACTATGAGGTTATGGGCCCAGACGTACGCGGCGTTGCCATATTTCGTCACATTACTAGCGTGTACCGAAAAATAGTTTATAATGGCCACTTCATGGGTGCCTGTGGTTTGAAATATGTTAATATGTGAATCATACATGCAAGGTTTAAAAAGTTTTAGGATATTGAAAATTAATAAATGTAAATAAGTGAATAAATAAGCTAAAACGGTGTGTTGTCGAAATAATAGTAAAAAACAACAAATTGTTAAACTAAAATATTATTCTTCAAATTTAACAGAAAAAGGTAAGTAAATAAACTAAGATAGTATTATCTGAGAAAAGCTAAATGACGAAATATATAGTTATTAAAAAATTAACAAACAAATAAACTGAACCAGTATTTTCAGATAAAAATAACAAAACATGAGGAAATAAACTAAAATTATGTTTAGTACCAATGTTTTTTCTATTATTTCTACAAGTTAATGTCCATTTTTAATTTATCTATTTTAATTATCCTGAAAATTTTTAGTACTTGTGTGTATGATTCGCATATTATTAATATATTTCAAATCTCAGTCAACTATGAAGTGACTATAAACCTCTAATAATCGATTTTTCAGCGTGTGCATGGACAATCAGGTAGCGAAATATGGGAACACCACGCTGTCAAAAGTTCCAACTATTCCTTCTTCCTGATCCTGATCGATAATCGGTGTCGCGTGGACTATTCTTGAAGGTCACTCGTTTTGTGCTGTTATTTCACGTCAAAAGGAATTGCTGGAAAATGGTATTTTGAAAAAACAAATTTCCATATAAAAAGTGTTCCATCCGGGATTTATATATACGGAGTTACGTATTAAACTGTTACGATAAACATGCAATAACCCCCAAATCCGTTAGTTATCATATGTTTCTTGTTTGTTGAAGTTTTATTTATTTTGTATAATTGTACGCATTTTTTTAATCAATTTTCTGTAGTTTTACATTCTTGTCTATTAAAATTACTTGGTTATGCATTTTTGGGTATTTATAAAATGATTTTTTAATTTCATAAACATTTTCAAATCTATTCAATTTATCAAATTCAAATACTCCTTTTTGAAATACAGATTTGCTAGTTATGCTATTATAATTTTGCAGATTATACTGCCTCTAGTTTCGTGGTTGTGTAAATGACTATTAATTTTGTGAAGTTTTCTAAATGCGGTGGTAATAAATGATTTTTTAATTTGAATATGAAAATAAGAATTAAATAACATATATTTTTTTACATTCAACCACTGCAGCTCTTCTAACATAGACTTAATATCTCTGGCAGCGGCTTAGATATGCCAAACTTTTGGCTTTATAGAAATTCGCTCGAAAGTTTAGGGTATTTTTAGGAAGTTGCGTTGCTGTATAATATTGTATATGCTGTAATTTTAACTTATCTCCCAAATACGTTACGTACTTCTTTTTGTAAAGGTTGTATTTATTATGTAGAAACTTAATGTAATACTTTCGACTGTGATTTAATTTTGTTAATTTATTTTAAGATCATAGGTCGTATATGTGGAGATGTTTTGATTCTGCATATAATTTTTGTTACATATGTATTTTTGTATTGCCTACGTTTTCATCATAGCATATCCATTTCATTGAAATCGTTTACTTTTGTGCAATATTTTACTATTCCCATTTGTAAAGTATTATTAGATAAGTGATAGATGATTATATTCAATAAAAAAGAGATGCATATTTTGTATGACTTTTATTCAGCTATCCTTTGTCTTCAAACACATCATAATAAATAAATAAATTAAATAAATAACTGTACAAACATCAAACCCAAAGTTTCGAGTACTTTGTCATCGTTGAAGCTCTTTGGAGTAGAGTTTTGCCAATCTAGAACAAAAAATCAAATTAGTTCTTACGCAACACACAAATGATATCGGCGTACTCATCATTGCTAAATTCCATTTCACAACACTCAAAAATGGAAAAAAGAAACTTTTGACTTGACTTTTATAAAAAAAAATTGTATGTATGTGTAGTAACGATAACAACCGTATAACACAACTTTGACAAACAATCTCCTAAGAACCGTCAAGTTGGTATCAAGACCTATTTTATTTTGAAACTAACTGTATGAATGATGAATGATCTAATTTGTTTTATTTTTATTTTTACGAAAACTGCACTCTAGGAAAAAACAAGAGTAATTATTTGTAGCAAATTGGAGGTAAAATTCGAAAAATTGCGCGAAAAAAAAACAGTGGCGTACTATTTTTATTTGGAAAACTAGTGCCACTGATCCCCTGTATCTCCACCACTGGAGCACGTTAATTTTTAGTGAATACTTTTGAATGTGGACAATAAATCCACATACCAAATTTTAGTTCATTCCAGTTGACGGTTTTGAAGATATTAAAAACAATGTTTTTTTATTTTTAATGAAGCCCTCGACGAAAAAATGTTACATAGAAGACCCCCCTTTTTGAATGCGGTCCTGTATATGATATTTCATTTTTGGTCACGACTTGTGCCAGTATGAGTTTGTTCAACAATCGTTTTGATCGCCCTCAGAATCGCTATTCTATTATATTTCTAACAACTACTGATCTCACTCACTATGAGACATTTCGAAGATAAATGTAACGTAAAATAACTAAAGTATCAGTACTCGCGTTCGAAGAATGATGGTCAAGTAAACGTGCTGCAACCTGTCTTGACGGTGCCACCTTTGCGACAATTCTCTGCAAGCCTGTTTCCCCACTACCGAAAATTTTCGCTTGTATGCATTAGTATTCGGTACAAACAAATACCGACATATGCACGTTTTCCGTAGTTAACTCTGTCGCTGTGTAAATATACGTTTCCCGTATACCAGACACTACCTTTTTTGCGAATATAAAGGCACGGGTATCATGTAAAAAACCTATAAAACGTAAAAAGAACCTATAAGATGTCAACTTGCAGACTAGATAGTTTTTAGGGCGCAAACAGTCATTCCACGTCTGCTCACTACGATCGTTGTGAACGTCCATCTATAGAGGAATCACTCAACTAAACTACGCATTATTGGTTGCATAGTTTTGTGAGGCTGAGTGATCCGGGTCTGTAGCCTGTAGCTTTTATCTCTGAGAAGAAAGTTGGTTGAATAGCAAGATCGCATCTGGATGATTATGTGTATTGGTCTGCATGTGTATAAAATCAGTCATATTTGCTGTGTGAGAAAATCATTACTGAATATACCGAATATGACGGATTATTTATATGTTGTGCTTTCTGAAGAGAGTTAATAAATTACGAAAAACTGAGGAGAATTACGGGAAATCATCACCGCGCCCGCGTTGTGTGTAATTACTGTTAGCATGTATATGGCTTGTAATTCGACAGTGTACAGTGAGTATAATTATTTCTTATCTCTCTCATTTTTAAAATTCAGCAAATTTATGTATGTAATTTCCAGAATGGATAAGAAAAAGTGGATGCGCAAATAATGTCTGGCTTTGAATCTCAATTAAGTGTATTTGAGACAAGAACCCAATGTAATTATCATCAACACATACAACTTACAGCTTAGACCTCCAGTAATGCCATCTCAGAAGCAGATGTTACATCACATCAGAGTCAAAGCTTGATGACAAGCCTCATGACGTTTTAGGCAACACGTACAACTAAGTGCTAAGTTAAGATCATGCAGAATAACCTACATAATGTCAAAATAAACAGCATAATGTCAAAAAAAATCGGCATAATGTCACTTTTCAAGATACGTGATACCCGTGGGGTTAAGTACTAGCTACAAGTACCTTAACGTAAATATACAAACGAAAAAAAAGTGAAGGTTGAATATGTTATGCAGAAATACACTCCAGGATGTTTACACCTAAAAAAATGGCGTCAAGTAGGTTGACTCTGTACTTTCCACGCAACTGTCATCAGCTCACAAAGGATTATGTTCAGCACAAGTTGGCCTCACTGAGAAAAAAGTTAGCTGCAAACATGTATAACAAGAAATTAAAATGGATCGAGACAGTCAAACAGGCTCACACAATTAAAATTTGCATTCTTAGGATGCTGTTTTAGAAAATATGCTACTTCCTGCTCTTCAAAATGTGTGGATGACGATATCACAGCCCGCACAGTGTTGCAACAGGCTCTGAAAGATCTGGGCCAGATGTTACGTATGAAAAGGTCAGATTGGTCTGTTCGAACATTCAATTTAATATTTTTTTTACTTTGATTAGAATTATTTATTTCAGTTTTGATGCGACAGAGTTTTAATTTATTTTAGATTTATATTATTATTACGACATCGAGCGGGTGAACACCATTTCCAAACAGGGCGACACTCTCCAATGAGCGCTAGATGAATACTGACAAAAATCGTTCATCTATGATCATCGAAGTGGAAACCTTGCCTTGGGATATACGAGATGCGGTGTTGCCAAGCGAACCAATGATGCAGTGTTGCATAATTTGTGGTAATCGTGACCTTTCATTTCGACCCAAAATTATGCGCCGCTAGGACCCATCCGGGATCGATCCTAAACAGATTCGACACAATTAAAAAATGTATACGCCTAAAATTAAACCATTATTTGGTGTAACGCGGCAGATTGCACGACCTTCTGCGTCAGCGTTGCTAGGCAACGCAGAGATGAGCTTTGCTATCCAGCCAGCTTTTGTCTCTTTCTAGCTTATGTGTCTATGCACACTTCTCCCTCGTACACATTGAACTCAAGCCGTCAGAAAATTTGATTTTCAGAGTATATGTCACTCTCTAATTTGCGTAATACTGGCGCTGTTCCACTGAAAGGGATCTTTATGGACTGTCCGACCGGGAATGAAATAAGGTGGTCTTTAGTGACGAATCTGGGAATGTACGATGATCGAGCAAGAGTGAGACCGCGACGTGGTGAAAGACGTGACCCACAATTTGACAAAGAGCGTCACATTCACCACACAGTGGGAGTTATGGCATGGGGTGCTTATGGTGACAGATCACCACTAATTTTTATCAGAGCCAATATGACAGCCCGATGCTATATTCAAGAAGTAGTGGAGTGGAGGCTCATGCTATTCCATACCCAAACACCATCCAAAACCCGATTTTTCAGCAAGACAATAATCAAATCCAAGCGAATAACCAAAATTTCTGTGTTATGTGCCACGGTTATAATATGGTTCAAGATGACACACGGGTTGATGACGTCAGTTACACGAATTGCTTGAACGCGTTGGTTTTAACCGCGGTTTTGTTGCAAGTTGTTTATTTTAGAAAAGCGCGTATATAATCTCTGATTATTTTTATTATCATTTAATAATCGGTGCTTTTTCGTCTACAACTGTATGTGGAAAGTTTAAATAAGAAGCCTTTCATAATATTCATGGGAGAAATGTTTTTTCAGATTTTTTTTTAATGATGGAACCATGGCTTTGTATCTATGATAACTTTCAATTCTCTAAATTCTTCCGCATGTCAAAGAAAACATTTATTGATTCAGCAGAAATGATGAAAAAAGAAATTAGCAAAACCGTATACAGGTGGATATCATCTAGTGAGTTTACATGGCCATATTTTAATATTCTTGTGGTATATGGCTACACAAGATACTTTTTTAAGCATAGGAACTACATTTAAAGTGTCCCCAACAACCGTAATGAGTATAAGGTGCTCCACTTTATGGTAAAACTGAAGTCAGCCTGTATCATTTTTCTCAAAAATGAAGCTGAAGTACAATAACAATATCCAATACCCGGCAAAATTCTAACTTGTCACATTTCAAATAATAACCAGAAATATAAAACTACTCTTGAGTTGGGTAAATACCACAATTTTGCGGTGATAACTATGACATATAACAGCTGATTCGTGACGTCACGGATCTTATAACCAAACTGATAACTACACTCGCTTGAACGGATTGGTAAATACCAAACCAAAATGGTAAATACCATTTCCATTTGGTTATCCACTTGAATTTGATTAATGCCAGACCTCATGTTGTCAGAGCATCGTTAGCCGTCATGGATCAACACCGCATCAACCTTTACCTTGGCCACTACGATCGCCTGCCCTATCTCCATTTGAACATGTCTGGGGCATGATAGGTCGCAGGCACGATGCCCAGGCAAGTCAATGAGCGTATAAGAAATCGTGGATCCTCAACACATTATTGAACCAGCTTCTGCAGTCAGTTGACGAATCATTTTACTAGAAAGGACACTGAACATATATGCCAAAAATTATTAAAATCGGATAAACATACTTAGTTGTTTACCTTTTTTTATCACTCAGTATAATAACAGTAAAGTGACTTTATTAGTAACCTTTCACATCAAAACAAAGTTTAGCTTGATGGCTATTGTCTTTTTTACGAGTATCCATTACGGTTTCTTCCGTAATAGCTGATTATCTGGTAATATTTCAAAATTCCCCATATCTGCAAATCACGGATTCACATTGTACTTGCTTGATTAAAAAAACAGTTTTATTAGATTTACACCCGCTTGATTAGTGACAACGTTACAGACTAATACAAATATGTCACTAGCTGATCAGCTGTTCAACACAGTAGACGTCAAAGCGTGATGGTTACTCAAGAAATAAGGTTTATGCGGTTCTGAATGTCAAATGTTCACATGAATATAACATAACGCATAATGCTTGAGTGCCTTTTGTGTTTTCTATGACTTATAATTTTTTGCAAGCAGCTATAAGTGAAAAGAACGATATCAGATGACGATAGGCGTAGGGTTTCTAAGAAGTAATGCATATTTTTTATGCAGAATTAATTGGGTGCTTTGTTAATATCACAGTAAAGTATTTACTTATATTTTAATTATATTTATAACCCTTGACGTCAGATCACAAAACAGTTGCATATAGCAACCCAGTTCTCAGCTCTCTGTTCTGTTTCAGAAGAGTAAATAACAGAATAATCACGGAATAACCGCGGATCATCGCTTATTATGTCATAATAAAAATCCTACATAATGTCAATAAAATCTATACAAAGTCATTTTTCAATTTACGTAATACGGGTGCTGTAAACGACTGTCAGAAAGTCATTGTTCGGAGGAACCAAATAATGCAGAAATAATAAAAGTGACTATATTGGTAACTTTTCACATCATGGTGAAGTTTAGCTTGACGACTATTGTATTACTTGGCTGCAATATGAACGGATCATAACAAAAGTTAAAACGTTAGAAAATTCCAGAAACGTCAAGTTGAAGGTCGGAAGAGTGGTGATATTTTTGCAAACGACAAAATTTTTGATGATTACCTTACCGGAAAGAACGCAGCAAATTCAAGATGGAGAGTCATGTAAAAAAATATTTACCTTTTATACGAGACATTTTTGTCAACTTTCTGGAGCATTCTTTGGACTTCACAGTAAACTCCACAGTCAGAATCAGATGCCCTTTCTTTGTTTTCCCACCTGTCTACAGCTTGCCATACAAAACTGGTGATTTTATTTAGCTTATCATCTGAAATAAAAAACATTTCTAATTTTTCTAATTTTTTCGAGATTACAATACTTCCTCAACAGTGGCATCGGAGGTAAATATAGCAATATGCTCAATTTCATAAAAAAAATAATAATAAATGTGGTCTAGCATGTGTATATGATCGAAACTTGTGCGAGAAATTAACGGTAGATTTACCGCAAAACAGTAGATCTGGCAACACTGGTGGCATGTCCAAAATAACGAATTTAGACTAGGTAGACGGAGCAAGCCTACGATTTCTTTGTCTCCAAAATTCAGGATGAAAGTGCATACTACAAGTGGACTTGAGATATGTTATTTTTTTGACAGTTTCGTCTTAAATTCGTATTTTTTTTAATATTTAATTAATTTTGATGAGAAACAATGCAATGTAAGTACACAGTGAAATCCATATACATAGCACTGACGTCGTAACGTGTACGACAGAGAAGCGTGCAATAATGAATAATGAGTATATTAGAAAGAGATAGAAGCACAACGTTGCCTAACAACTCTAGTGACGAGGCCTCGAACGCAGCTGCGCCCTGCTGCGTTGCCATCGACGCACTCTTGCATGTTTCTCTCTCGTACACATTACGATGTCAACCAAATTTGAACCTCACTGTATGTTATTCAAGAAACTTATTCAAAATTATGTTGAATGAGCACAATACAGAAGTATGTACATCCACCATAATTGTCAATACTCGTAAAAGATATCTTAATCCCCTGTGTTTGTCTGGCCAATGAAACCATAAACATTTGAAAAAGTGTACTGAAAGTCACCCTTGAGACGGAAACGTATACTACATTTTTTTATACCGAAGCAGAATCCTAAATGCCGAGACCGCGGCTGCTATGATGATCCAAGAGAAATTTTGTTAATCCAATTTTTGAACTGCCTAAGGTTAGTAGAACTGGGAAAAGCTTCCTCTTGTAGATTGTTCCACAATCTCGACACCCTCGGGACAAAGGAGCGGTCGTATCGGCCAGTTCTGGATATACGAAGTTCAACACGATTAGGATAGGAGGGCAAAGTCAGGTGGGTCTGTCTGGTAGGCACATAGCGCGGCGGCATCTTGGCAGAGCTGAGGAGCAACGCCCGTTGGTGTAGCGGTAGAAGAGAGCTGGATCGCCGACGGCCCGCCGGTGTGAAAGGATCCCGAGACTGTCTGTTATAGAAGAGTCGTCGATCAGTCGGACAGCCCTCCTGTGGACAGAACCGAGCATAAATAATGTAGTCTGGGCGGCAGCACCCCAAACGTGTGAGCAATATTCGAGGCTAGGCCTTAGCTGGGCCTTGTATAGCGTGAGAAGGTCATGCGAAGAGAAGTACTTCTTAGCCCTAAACAAATTGCCTAGCTTTTTCCCAGCAGCTGCCGCTATTTACGAAACGTGTTCGTGCCAGATCAGGTCCTCGGTGATCTGGACTAGCCGAAATGAATGGCTCTTTGGCAGAACTCAGCCATCTATCGAAACCGGATGAACACTAGGATGCTTTTTGTTCGTCAAGGTACAGTACTGTGTTTTGGAAGCATTAAACAGTACAAGATTGTCGCGTCCCCAAGCAGTGATAACCTCTAGGTCTCTCGTTAGAGATGAAGTCGTCGCTAGTCTTCTTTTTTCCAGCTCAGCAGCAGAAATCGGCTTGTCGCTCTGAATTCCTGCATACAGAGTGCTGACATCAGCAAAGCGGAGCCAAGACCGATCCCTCGGAGCACCCGCGTTGACCTTGTGGGATGAAGAGGAGAACCCGTCAATTACGACGCATATATAAGTTTCATTATCCACCTCAAAAAACATTTTTGTTGGTGTACCGCAAGGAGTAAGCTGGGCCCACGACTATTTATTTTATCTTTAACATTCGTGATATTTTAGATTATTGTTAAATTCAGATATTTGCAGATAATACATTAATATACATATCAGATGAAAATCCGCAAAGTTGGGGTTTTCCTTTTCAGAAACAACTACCCTTGAAATAACAAAGGTAATGTGTAGTGAAACGAGGGCGACCAAGTAAAAAAATAAAGGAAAAAGTACTCACTCTCCAGTTGACGAGAAGGGCTAAGTACGTCTCTGCCCGAAACCATACCGCTCCAACAGAAAATGAAATCAGCTGATGCGCTACCGAGCAGACGCAGGCAAACAAGGAAGGCAAAATGTTGCGTAATGACCAAACATGAGTGTTGCGAAAGTTATTCACCCCATTACGCGTGAACGTAGATTCGAGTGTCACCAATATGCACTTCAAAAAGTCCAGATTATTGTCATGTTGATGCAACAACCACTCACAAAACCGCACTCTTGCTGGAAAATCGTCAGGTTGAAGGTCTTGTACACGTTGGACGTGAAACGGATACAGCCCCTCTTCACGCAGCGTTTGCCACACTTTATTTTTTGATACTTCTCTAGCCACGTCTCTAGTGCTTGTTGTTTTTTGAAACGCAATCGATTATATGGGTTCGTTTACCTCTACACGCGTGACCGTAACCGTCGGTTGAAGGTTGCATACTGACCTGACACACTGACCCCGGGTCGCGGCTACAGGACGGTATTCAGATATTTTTGATGTTGCAGAGCCCTTTATCTCGGTTCCCTTAAGACATTGGTGTATATGGTACTAAGAAAAATTGCTTATGTTTTCAAGATCTACACGTCGTGTAAAGGAAAACCCCAACTTTGCGGACACCCTGTATAGACACTGCTTTAGAGAGGCTAAATTCAGACTTGGCAAAAATCATAAATTGGTTAAATGTAAATAATGATTCTGTAACAAAATGTATTCTAATAGGGAAATACTTCAACGAAAATACTATCACAGGATAAACGGTAAAATCTTTGAAAAGGTTGAATCAATTAAATATTTGGGTATATACACAAAAGTTTTGCAATATGACTTAACAAACATACGCAGGAGGCTGCATGTTACTGCATGTTGAGACATGTCCATGAATGCACAGTAGCCGCGAGCAGCATGTCTGTTGATTTAGTTGTTCATTCGTATTGACAGTGCAAAGTACGGACTATGGCATCGTGGTCACCTAGTGTGATAAGGGCAGTTTTACGGTATAACTTTAAGCGCTGTTTAAGCATAGACCAGTGCTTAGAAGGAATGACGCTCGCATTAAAGAATGATTGTCCTCATCGTACGATTACACTGATCAACAGCCAAAAAATATCCTAAATAAAATCAACAAAATATTACTATTTTTAATGTGCTAAAACCGGAATGAAACTTATTTTTTCAATATTAGTTCAAGTTTTAGAGATACGGTAATTATATGTGTTCCTGCTGTGACAGTGTTAATATACTGTAATTCACAAGAATGCACGTGCTACATTTTTATATTCGGCAAGGAAAGATGATGTAATCGGCATGATTGTGTTACGTTATACATACGTGTACATTATATTGTTTTATATTAGCCATTTTTTCCTCAGTTGGCTGACAGTGTTCATGCAAGATGTCTCGAAAGTGTGTAAACAATCCAGATCAGTTGTGTTACGTGTGTGGTGATGTGACTTTTGCGTCTCAGAGACGGTCTATTACTCCACTAATAACAAAGGCATATCAGCTTTATTTCGGTTGTAAACTAGGTGATCAAGACAAACAGTGGGCACCCCACATCTGCTGTAATACATGTGCTTCAAGTCTGAGGAGCTGGTTAAATGGCAAAAAACGGTCTATGCGCTTTGCTGTCCCAATGGATTGGAGAGAGCCTACAAATCATATGAATGATCGTTACATTTGCATGGTACCTTGTGTTGGACAAGCCACAGGTATGTCCAAGAAAAAAAAATCGGTTATTAACTACCCAAACATACCATCTGCGATGAGACCTGTGCCTCACAGTGACGAAAATTCTATTCCAAAACCCCCAGAATCCTACACTTGCGAATCAGAAAACGAATCAGATCATGGCGATCGAGTGATTCGTCAGGAAGAAGATATGCCATCAACGTCAAGAGATCCTGATTTTATACCGAGCACGTCGTGCCACCAACCGCACAAAATAACACAGTCAGAATTAAATGATCTTGTAAGAGATTTAGAACTTCCAAAATGTAAGGCTGAGTTACTTGGATCAAGACTGTAGCAGTGGAACTTGTTAGAAGACGATGTTTCGGTATGTGTTTTTCGTAAACGCCACAAAGACTTAGAACCATTTTTCAATATGGAGAATAACTTGGTTTTCTGCAGTAACATTAACGGCTTACTGGCGGCTTTAAATATAAACTATAACCCAGAAGAATGGAGATTGTTTATAGACAGTTCAACATTGAGTTTAAAGGCAGTGTTATTGCATATTGGAAATATTTTACCATCTCTTCCTGTAGGGTATGCAGTTCACATGAAAGAATCATACGACAATATGAAGTACCTATTGACATGCATAAAATACGATGAGCACCAATGGCATATTTGTGGCGATTTGAAAGTTGTTGCACTTTTACTTGGGCTGCAGCTAGGCTACACAAAGTTTTGCTGTTTTTTGTGTGAATGAGATAGTCGGGCAAAGGCACTTCATTACACCAGACAAAACTGGCCTGTTCGTCAATTCCTAGAGCCAGGTCAAAAAAATGTACAGCATATGCCATTAGTATATTCGAAAAAAATTTTATTACCACCACTGCATATCAAGTTGGGCCTAATGAAAAACTTTGTCAAGGCATTAGATAGACATGGGTCAGCTTTTCAATACCTGCGTCAGAAATTTCCAAGACTAAGTGAGGCAAAGGTTAAAGAAGGTATTTTTGTTGGGCCACAGATTCGAAATATTTTAAAAGATACACAGTTTGAAAACACTTTAACAGGAATTGAAAAAACTGCTTGAAATGATTTCCGTCTGGTGGTCACTAATTTCTTGGGAAATAGAAAAGCTGACAACTATAAAACCATTGTCAAAAATATGCTGTCATCGTATCAAAAGATGGGCTATATGTCTCTTAAGATACATTTCCTACACTCACACCTGGACTTTTTTCCTGATAATTGCGGAGCCGTAAGTGATGAGCACGGCGAACGTTTTCGTCAGAATATTTCAACAATGGAAAAAAGGTACCAGGGAAAGTGGAATCCTTCCATGCTTGCAGACTACTGTTGGACTCTTGGTAGAGATGCTCCAGAAACGATCCATAAAAGAACAGCAAAAAGACAGCGCATATAGTGATTCTTATGAATCTTGTTACTTTTTTTAATATATCCTTAAAAATAAAAAGTTTTTTTTCTAAACCGCAACTAATTTTTTTATTTCATTGTCATTTTTGGATTCAGCGCCCCAAAATTAACAAAGAAGTGCACTTTTCCCACAAGATACAATTAAAAAACTAAAATTTGTTGTCCAGTGTTATATTCAGATGGTACAGAGAATTCCAGAGAGGCAATTTCACTCTGGAGGACGCTGAGGGAAGGCAGGCCGCGAACGTCAATAACAGAGGAATATATTACTGCTGTGAGGAAAATTCTTGATGGAGACCGGAGAGTGACATACCAACAGATTGAGGAGACCTTCCCCTTCATGAACAAGCAATTCATTCAATTCTGCACGACCATTTACAGGTAAGGAAACTTTATCCTCTCTGGGCACCGCATAGTCTGACGGAAGAGCAGAAGACTCGTCGTACGACTTCGTGCCGAAAGATGCTGAAAATGTTTGATAAGGGGCATCGTGAGAGACGAGACTAGGCTCTATTATTACGATGTGCCGACCAAGGCTCAAAACAAATTTTGGATCTTTGATGATCAGGACACACCCGTAGCTGTCAGAAAATCTCGATCTGTTAAGAAAAAAAATGTTAGCTGTATTTTTCAAATCGAGCGTGTCATTTTGGACACACAGAAGACAGTCACAGCTACGTGGTACACGGAACAGTGCCTGCCTAAAGTCATAGAGTCTATGAAAAACCTGCGGCCAAAGTCAAGAACGGACACTTGGTACCTCCACCATGACAACGCTCCAACTCACCGCGGCAAAGCCTGCACCGAGTATTTGACCACTTCTGGACTGAAACTTATTGAGCACCCTCCTTTCAGTCCAGATCTTGCTCCCTGCGACTTTGCACTGTTTATGCATGTGAAAATGAAGCTAAAAGGAAAACGGTTTTTCAGCTATGAGGACCTTCTGAGGGCTTAGAGAACAAGTGTGTCGCACTCCCGGGAGAAACTTAGCAGAGCTGGTTTAGGGACTGGTTTTGGCGGATAGAGAAGTGTGAATTCAATAACTAAAGCTGTATTGCAAAAGTTTTATAGTACCCTTCGTATATTGATAGTAAACTAAAGCTTCAGGATCACCACAAAAACATTATTTAAAAAATTGCCAAAACAAGCAAATTACTTTTATAGGGCTTCTCTCAGTTTTACTACATATTCAAAAAAAAATAGTGTATAATACAATTATTCTACCGCAATTACTATATTGTTCAATGCCAATGAAGCTGTATTCTCAAAATTCCTTCAAAAAAAAGCTATAAGAATAATATTGAGTAAAAATAAGTACACCAAAATATAATCTATGTTACAAGAATTGCAATGGTTGAATATAAAAAACTCATATCGTATTTGGTTCTTATTCTCATATTTAAAATAAAAAATCATCTTCTGGCACAACATTACATAGTACTGAATAATCATTACCACAATTATTATACAAGTGAAAATATATACATATTTCCATTTACAATAGCAATAGCAATAGCAAATCAATATTTCGGAAGGAATTACTTGAATTTAATAAACTAAATAGTGAAACAAAGTCTATTCGTAATTTGGAGATTTTAAACAAAAATATAGGAACGTTTCATAATCAGTGAACATTCTGAGAGGTGTAAGTTTTGTTTCTCTGGACATTCGCATTTCAAGTAATTGCTGGGGTTTTTTAAATGAATGTAATTGTAGCAATCTTGCTAAATAAATCTTAAACAGACGAACAAAATGACAAACATGAGGAATTATCGACATGAAAACCACAGGATAAGTTTCAGATGTCACTTTAACAAAAGGTTTTTATCTAGACTCATTCCTGGATGAATCGGGCGCGTAAATTCAGAATTTCCATTAAAAAACTAGATACCTATTCGACTTCAGAAATGGATATCAAAAATATAAAATATCACACTACCAGATTTTTTTCCTGTGAATCCTCTCATCATATCATCCTCGTCTTCTTCTATCTCCATCTCATCCATGCTGGAAGATGAAGACTGAGATGGCTTACTCTTGTCCTTCAAAGTTGGAATGAAGAGTAGCAGACATAGGATTGCAATAAAACTGACTATTTTCTTGAAAATCACTAACTTCAGCAGGATTTTTCCGAGGGTGAAAAGGTTCAGCTTGAATTTCAGTTTCTCGTGAAGTTTGTCCCAGATGCTTCCAAGAGCGTGTGGAACTCCATAGAACACCTACAAAAATTTCATTTTCTATCAATTAAATTTTCTTTTGAGATGTGCTCCATGCATGTATACTAAGTGACATATAAATCCGAACACCCAGTTTAAATGGTTTTATTTTAATAAAAGTTGGTGAATGTATTTATCTTACTGTAAATAACAAATGAAAAAATTTTCAGCCTTATCAGTTGGACATTCCGGTTTTTATAGTGCTTTTTTTTAATTCACTAACGCTCTAAAAATGAATATTTCAACCGCAGTAAAGAATCAACGTTGGCGGATTTTGGTTCTTGACCTCCTTTACGATCGGTTACGATGCCTAGAGTACGGAGACCTGTACGATTTAGTCAACTTAGTGAGTTTGATAGGGGCCATATAGTGGGACTTCGGGAAGCTGGACTTTCTTTTCGGGCAATTGCAGTTAGAGTGCAAAGAAGTGTAGACACTGTGGTTAGGTGTTGTCAGGCATGGCTTCGAGAAGGCCGTACGCAAAGAGCAAGGGGCACTGGACGCCGCCGTAGAACAACAGACCGTGAAGATCGCCGCCTAAGATTATTGGCCTTAAGGGACCGTTTCACCAATACCAGGTCCATTGCAAATGAATGGTTTGCAGAACACGGAAGACCTATTGGCATGCGAAGTGTTTACCGATGAATGAGAAGTTTTGGCTTGTTTTCATACCGGCCACACTGGGTCCTCCCTTTAACTCGAGAACACCGACGTAATCGCCTTGAGTGGTGCAGACAACGGTCACTCTGGGATCAGGAATGGAACAGTATTGTCTTTAGTGACGAGTCTCGATTTTGTTTAGGCTTGCACGATGGTCGTGCCAGGGTTAGAAGGCGACGTGGTGAAAGGAGGAATCCACAGTTTTTTGTTGAAAGACATGTTCATCACACTGTTGGAGTTATGGTTTGGGGTGCTATAGCTTATGGTTCCAGGTAACCTTAAACCTGGAGAATGCGTAGCACATCAGGGTGCATCCACACATTATTAAAGGTCAAAGGGCTTTAAAGCAGTGCAATCATGAAATTTTTATCATTTACTTATTATGCTTCATTAAGTACTTATACAAAATTTTATTAAAATAAAACCATTTAAACTGGGTGTTCGGATTTATATGTCACTTAGTATATTTTGAATATATAATATGAGTGAATATGAGATTTCAATGATCCGCCAAAAAAATCTTGAGCAAATCGACAAATTGTGGAAATACTCGTATAACATCAAAATAGTGTCAAATATGCTTCATTTGGAACATTTGATGAAATTAAGATACCCATTAAGGTTTAAGCATAATATGCTTGATAATAATCAAAATATCAACAAATCTCTGTATACAGTGAGTCCCAGAAGTCGACGTCAAACGGAAACGGACAAGTCATAACAGTTATCAAAATAATAATAATAATAATAATAATAATAATAATAATAATAATAATAATAATAACAATAATAATAATAAATCTAAGTAGTGTAATTTACAAACTATAGCCTTTTAAAAATCGGGATGATTTTTAGTTCCCATTACTAGAAATTTCAATTTTTTCTTAGGCGGAGTGACGGCCAGTGTCATTCTAAGTAGTGACAGCTAGACAGATCGTAACGCCACTTTTATTAATTCATAATTGTGTAGTGGCACCATGTCTGTGCAAACCGTACAGGGATACGCCAACATGCACCTCATTTATGAAGAAAGTAGATGCAATGCTTGTGTTGCGACTAGGCTTTTCATGAGAGGTACCCAAATGCTGTTCGTCATCCAGATCTCCGAAATTTTCTGAATGTGCACCGCACGGGTATTATGTAAAAAACCTATAAAACGTAAAAAAAACCTATAAAATGTGATCTTGCAGACTAGGTAGTTTTTAAGGTTCACACAGTCATTCCACGTTTGCCCACTAGGATCGTTGTCAGCGTCCATCTATGGAGGAATGATTCAACTAAATAACACGCATTGTTGGTTGCATATGTTTTGTAAAGCCGAGTAATCTGTAATTTTTCTCTCTGAGAAGAAAGTTGGTTGAATAGCAAGATCGCATCTGGATGATATGTGGATTGGTCTGCATGCGTATAAAACACACGACTTTTTATATTTTTCTGATAATTATTATGACTTGGCCTATCCCTCGTATCCGGTTTTACGTCGACATCTGGGACACCCTGTATGTAATATATATATAACACATAATATAACAATATATGAATAATTAATACATTAAAATTGTGTATAATCGCATAAAAAAATTTTTAGTGATTCCTGGAAGTTGTGTCGCCTTTACATGGTGCAATCCAAATTGCATATGTTCGTGTAGACGCACTAATTTCGAGATTTGAACCTGATCAATGCATAGAACTTCAAGAGGTAATAGTATTAGCGCGATTTTGTCTATTGAAACCTGGAACACGTCAGTTGCTCACTTAGTACAGGCTTTGTACTCGACTGTGTCCCGTTCCACTGTCGTCTCGCCCATACATTTTGAAATTAACCAATCCAAAAACTCTGCAGGACCAGGAAATTCGCGCAAACACTGCCGATGGCATCCGAACCCTCTCGAACGCTCACGCACATGAACGGGATCGGTCTCGAAGCTTTTCCATCTCGCCGCAAGCAGCGGTACATGATGTTGTTACTCTGGTTGCCTAATTGATTACCCTTTTGCTAGTGGTTCCAGTATTTACCACTTTAAGTATGTCTTAGTAAATTTCAATGGTACATTACTGTAACTATGTAAAAAACAATGATTCTTTGATACAATGGATCACATACAATAGTATGATAATACAAAAATTATGTATCTTAATTTTTTTGAGGTTAAGTACGTTTTTGTAACTACCGTGGCGTCACATTCCTAGCAGTTTTCATGTCAATTATTTTTTTACTCTTCTTCTCTTTCTACTGTCTACTTTTTACCATTTCCACACACTTTTCCCTGGTACCTATGAAAGCAGTCAAAATCAAAATATTATCTGACCCTGTCAAATTATGTATCACATGTTATGTGTTGCAACATAAATGAATATGAAAACAAAATAAACTTGATTTCTTAGTTGATTCTGAAAATCCAAATACCGCATATTAACTCGTATGATGTTGGTCATGGATTTTTCAAAAGTTTTGTGATGGAATAGATTATAATTTATACTTTATCTGAAGTCACTTGAAACACTGTGAAATACCGGGTGCGTTTTATATATCTATATTTAACACGCTCTGTTGCTGCAAAAATCGCCAAATTTCGCAGCAAATATCCCCCGTATAAGAGATCAAAGGCAGTTTCACCGGTCCACGTGGAGTAAAGCACGCCTATGCGTGGACATAGCCAATGAGAAAGCGTGTATTTCAGAGCTCGGAACAAGTGCAGGTGGCTACTGAAAATTGAAACAGTTTAGCCAGTGCCGTGTAGCGGTGAATATACGTGTTTTCTTTAGTCTGTCCGTGTTTTTTCATAGATTTTATTAGTTTGTGTGTTTTTGACTTTTGAATACTCAGTTTACTTGTTGATTTAATTGTTGTGTTGATTGTTCTTGTGTGTCCTAAATATGGCTCTTTGGAGACCTTGGGAAAATGCTCCAAGCCACGAGGAGATGGTTGATGAACCTGTGCAGGCAGAATTCTTTCATAAAGATTTAGAGGAACAGACCCAAAGAGTAATCCTAAATATGTATGATTGTCTGAAAAACGAAAATCCAGATTCCTCGCAAAATCAAATTTTAAACAGAATTTGTATCCTGACAAAAATCAGTCGGTCTACCATTTATCGGGTTATAAAAAGAGAGATGTAGTCAACCATTCCTTCCACAGAAAGCGCATAGGGCAAAAATTAAAAAGAATAGACGTGGGTTTTCAGGAAGATATTCGTCGTATAATATACGGATTTTATAAAGAAAATTTGGTGCCCACGTTGGAAATGATACGGGATAAATTAAAAGATTATCCTGAAGATTTTTATAATTACAAATGCTTAGACTCACTGCACTGTATTGTAAAACTGTGTGGTTTTCAATACAAAAAATTAGATAAAAGAATGGTGATTATGGAGTCGTCTCGAATCGTTGAATTGCGCCAAGAATTTTTGCACAAAGTTAAAATCTATAGAGAGCAGAAAAGAAATCTGATTTACCTGGATGAAACGTGGTATGATACCCATGATGTTGTGCAGTACGGCTGGGTTGACGACAGCAACAAGTGCATTTTAAATGCACCATGCAACCGTGGAAAACGAATCATGATTCTCCATGCTGGCAGTGAAAATGGATTTATACCTAATGCCTTGCTGTTATCTGCCAAAAATATCAAAGAATCATGTGCCGACTATCATGAGGACATGACCTCCGACTTATTTGAAAAGTGGATAGAGCAGCAGTTAATACCAAACATTTCCCCAAATTCAGTGATTATTATGGACAATGCGCCATACCATTCCCGACAGAAAAACAAAATTCTGAATACAGGCACAAAAAAACAAGACATTATTGATTTTATGAAGGATAAGGGAATGGAAATACCACAAAAATCAACCAAAGCCATATTATTGGATCTTATTAAAAGACAAAAATTTGAAAAAGAGTATGTTGTTGACAATCTGCTTCAGCAAAATGGCCATGAAGTATTACGTCTACCTCCCTATTACTGCATTTTTAACCCGATTGAGTTGGTCTGGGCTGCTTTAAAAAAAAAGTAAGAAAACATAATCAGACCCCTCAATTAAGTGAATCGCTATTGGCCACAATAAGAGATGTAGTATCTCATATTGCTGCCACAGACCTATGGAAGCAGTGTTAGAACACTATGCCTAGAGGCATATTATTGAAAAAGAAAATGAATATTGTGTTTTGCCTGTAAATCCCATTGTAATTCCTCTACAAGATGACTCTAGCGACAGCTCCGAAGGCGAGGATGATATATAAATACCTATAATGTAAGTCTTTATATACCTTTTTATATACCTACCTGCTATGTAAATATTTGCCTATGTCAAACGTTGGAATTCTGTAATTTTTCCATTTCTTAACTTTCAGTCAACATAAATTAAACTCCCAATATAATTTTTTTTTATCCCAAATCAAAAAAATAAGAAGATAGTAAAATCCATTTATTGTGATATAAAAACATTATTATTATCGTTCTAAATAAATGCCGCACGCCTATGATACGTCATGAAATTATAAAGGACGCGCCGACCAAAGGTTTTTATGCTATTTCAAGTGACTTCAGATACACCATACCTGAACATTGGATGCTGGCGGGCCATACACTGGAGGCGGTGGGGGATGAGGTGGACCATACACTGGAGGGTAGTTAGGGGGACCATACCTAAAATTTGTTGGCATGAGAAAAAAGTCTTTAACACATTTAAATCACGTAGGTGTAACGTCTGTGTTATTTTTCAAAGTCCCTATATTTGGTGGATATTCTAACTATCTAACGTTTTATCTAACAAACGGAACAGAATCACCGAGACCTTAATGGCTAGCAGATTTGAAGATTGTAGGATTACGTCACATATCGCATTAGAGCTAGTTACAGCACCAGTTCTATTACGGATTTCATTTTTTATCGCAAGATTTTATTTAACATGTATTTGTATGTATGTTAGAGAGTATGTACGTATGTTAGTATCTACTCATATGTTAATTAGTATTTATGGGTGGGATAAATCTTGGAATTGAATTTTGAGCCTGATAACCTTAACCAATTGTGCTGATATTTTCTACACACTTTTTGTTGGCGTGACAATACAAAATGAATTAACCGTCGCCATTTTGAACCAAGTATGGCAGATGCTACGAAATAGCGCCCAACTAGCAAAGTAGTGGTATAAGCTTTTGGTAAAAGAACCGTTCAGCCATAAAAGCTCTCTATTGTTGTTGCCTGAACCCCAAAATGCTGGCTTAATTTTGTGTGGAATGCAAATTTGCTTTCTGCAACATATTTGCTCTAATGAGGTGTTTAAAATATTCTTATAGCATAGTTATACAACACCTTATAGGGCAAATTTTTAACTGTTGCATAAACGTTTATACAACTATTTTATACTGCATATTTGCAAGTTAGTCAAAATGGTTGTGTTGTGGCACCCATGCCAACGTTTATAAAACAAACCCGAGCCTTGTTGCTTTGCTGTGCAATTTACTACATTAGCCAACAAATTGCTCCCAACGGAAGCACTTATACAACTGTTACATATGCTAAATATGTTGGTAAACAACTTCACCATAACCTAACTTTCTGCTGTCATATTTTTGTTAAAATGCCATAACCAATGTTTTAAGACAAACAACGCATGCATATCGGTTCAAAAGATTTTATCAACTGTTCAAACAGAAGATATAGATCTGGTACAAATTCTGGGTAAATCATTCGACTCTATCGGTATTTCATTTCAGACATTTGTCAAATTGTTGTATAACACCTGCAGGCAACACCAAAATATTCTAATAACCTAAAGACAACATGGACGATGCCATGATTGTACACAACCACCCGCCATATTGGACAAACATTTATTCCTCTATTTAATATTAAATAATTATGTTTCAGTTCGAAATTACAGATATAAAGTGATAAATACTAGTGCAATTGTGTCTAAATATAGGATTTGTGGGAGATTTAACGCAGATAAGTTCAGTTTTCCATCTTAAAAATCTAGACATACTTTTGATCATTTTCAAAATATGAATCAAATACGAAGCCCGTAGAAATTGGGTAACTAATTTGCATGATAATCACAATAAAATTTGCTGCGCAAGTAATTCAATAGCCCTATATCAAAGTGTAGAAGTTTACCATATACCTGTGTATGAAATTCACAATGGCCGATATGTAAGTAAACAAGATGACTGTAATGTGTTAGTTATATATTCTTCACTTCATCTATTGAATACATAGGAAATAGTTTGGTTGCAATAAAGTAGAATCACGTAAGAGAATAGTTGTATAGTTGACAAAAACTGAATCTTGCACTGACGCAAATGTCCTATAGCGGCTGCAAGAGGCTTACACTTTTGTTTTATAACTGTTACCTGCAGCCCTTATACAACCTCTTAAATGACTGAAGTGTCCTATTAGGTGTGCCCATTCCGCTTGTATAGCTGTTCTAAGAGGGTTTTGCTAATGTTCTTACAGTATACAATGCTGTTTAAGGAATACTGTATAATCATTCTTGCAACTCTAATAGGAGTGATAATTGTTAGTTGGGCGATTCATCATTTCCATAGTAACTCCTATGATTTGGGTATCAAATGAAAGGGCTCGATAAGAGAAACAATAAGCAAAGTGACGTCATGCTAAATCCAATATGGCGACCTCACAATGGCGATTTACATTTGCTATAGTCACCCCTATGGTATGGGGATCAGATAAAAGGGCTCCATGAGGAAAACATAATAAGCAAAATGACGTCATTTTAAATCCAATATGGCGGCGGCCGCTAAATGACGATTTATAATCTCCATGGTCACCGCTACCATATGGGTATCAAATGAAAGGGCTCAATGAGAGAAATGCGAAGAGCAAATAACGTCATCAAGTAAAGTAAGAAGTTTTATGGTGTCCTATTAATGTAATAAGGTTTTGACAGCAGGATTGAAAAAAGGTGTAACACGCATTTAATTAAGATTTTAGATGGAGTTGCTTTATTATCGTTAAAATATTTCTTGTTGGAAAAATGTTTCTAAATTTTTAGTTTATTTTTTAATTGCTAAATGAAAACTTGTTAATAAAAATTTATTTTTTTATTTCAAGTATACTTACTGAAGAGATGGAGGTCCATAATCTGGACCTGAAGGTCCTGATGGAGGTGGCCCGTACGAAGACCAACCAGAAGGCGGAAGCTCTTTATATTCTCTGTCAGTTTTCTTCACCGCGTCATCTAGTATTGCGTTTGGGTCATCTCCCCGTGATGCCTTTTATGGACCGAATTAAACAAAATTTAATATGGCAATTCAAAATCTTTAATGTTTTTAATAAAATTCTAGCCATGATCATGCACATGTGCCATGTAGGTTTCAAAGAAAAGGGATGAGTCAAATCGTTTTAAAAGGCGAAATCGAATCGTGATTAGGTAGGTTCACAATTCTCGACCTCTGCATATCAAACTATATAAAGCAAATCTATCATATTTATGTTTCCATGGCAGATATAGAGAACATATGTGAAACTTAATACAGGCGTCCCTCGTTTTACGCGGGGGTAACGTTCTTTGAAAACACCGCGTATAAAACATAAATATATATATACTATATATATATATATATATATATATAAAACACCGTATATCGAAACAAAAACATTTTATTACATAAACTTTTGTTAAATACATAATATACATAGGTATGTTTGTACACATTATGTATGAGAACATTAAACGTTAATTTTTTAACAAAAATATTAATTTTTAGAAAAATAAGACGTAATTTTTGACCGTTTTGGCTTCGTTGCGTAAATTCTTCTCAACTTCCTTGTATGGTGCCAATGCTGCAAAAACCTCTCGTTTAGTTTTTAAACTTCTTTCCATTGTAGGATCTTCCCTGATTAACAGCTCGGTGAGATCGTGTGCCATGGTAACATTTATTAAGCGTTTTCAACGTAGGGGCTACTTCATCATCTTCACCTTTTTCTTGAGCTTCATAATTGTTCTCCGTCAGTTCTTTGAGTTCTCTTTCAGTGAGTTCAACATTATGCGATTCAAATAGCTGATTTATATCGTCCTCATTCATATCATCGAATCTCTTTGAATGACTTTCCTAAATCAGCAATTTCTTTGATTTCGTCTCTGATATCAGGCACCTTCGCATAAGACTTCACAATTTCTGGCCATAAGTTTTTCCAGCAGCCATTTAATGTCGATTTTTTAAGTTCACCAATCGATTCATTAATATTATGTAGGGGCAATCTGCAATTGTGTAATCCTTCCAGCATTGGCTTAATGTTTTTATAGGGTCGCGTTCCAAGTTTTCTAACAGCATTTTAAACGTGCGTCGCGTGTAATAAGCTTTGTAGATGGCAATGATTCCCTGATCCAGAGGCTGTAGGATTGATGTGGTGTTTGGTAGAAGAAATTCTACTCGAACATTGGGATTTATTTTCTGTAAATGGCGGCTGGTGACCAGGGGCATTATCTATGAGTAATAACACCTTCAATTCAAGATTTTTTGACGTCAAATAACGTTTAACCTCTGGTATAAAACAGTTCTCAAACCAGTCTAAAAAAATGTCTCCCGCGCCTGAATCAATTTTCAAAATATATAAATACCTAAACGATGAAAGTATTATTAAACTCGCGATAATATTCGAACTTCACAAGTTGCTTAAAGATATCTGCATCTCACAAATTAATGTATGTGGTATATCGAATTATGAGCTCATTATACATCGGACCTTTAGCAATCAATGTTCCCGTTGTTATCGGGATCAGAAGATTTTCAATAAACCTCTTTGACTAGCACTAAAGGCGTTAGATTTACAACCCCCTATCCCCCAATAGACCCCAAGTTTCAACCTCTACAAAAATGTTTCAGTAAATGATCAGGAGCCTCTGACACGTCAAAAAACGAAACATAAGCGATTTTTATTTTTTTCGTATTTTTGCCTCTAGCTCCGCCACCAAAAGACCGAGTTTCAAAAACTAAAAAGCTCTTTTCATCCTTTGCATAGTACTAACCTTGTGTGAAAATTTCATCAAAAATCGAGAGTACTTTTCAAATTATAGGCTGTTATGAAATTAGTGTACAGACAGACAGACCAACGGAAATGACCGACATGATTTTTCACGAAGTAAATGTATAACATATGTATATCTCGATTTTGAAATTTTTCGCGACTACAATACTTATTCGGCAGTTTTGGTATAGGAAGTAAAAACGATCCAAAGTATATCAAATCTAATGTAGGGGTTGCTTTTATCATTGTTTTGTTACTTTTCCCGCTGCATCGGGGGAATTTCGTAAACTTCTTTCACTTTCCGATAGAGAATAAAAACAAAAATCCAATCTACCTTATACGCCGCAAGATACGAATCCTCTCCAGCAGAAACCCTAAACACCTTCTCAGGCTCACCACACACCTCTACCCCTAAACCCAGCACAAACACAAGGAAGAACATCTTCGCCCGAAGAAGAACGTCAAAGAAATGAAGACTTCGTACATCGCGGGCGGCGTCGAAACAATCATAATACGTGACAAGACTGTCAAAATTTATTTTGATATATTTAGTTGTCCACTGATGCCCTAGATACAATTATTTGGTGATACCACACTGCTCCTATATGCATATGCTATTTTGTTAGCTTAGGAAAATTAAATGAATAAATACAGGAATGTTAAGAAAATTCACTGAGCTGTATCACAACAAATCAAAATTAATCAAGTGTGTATTGTATGAAACAATATGAAACGAAAATCTTGCATTCCTGAGAGAATTCCTGAACTCGATGCAAAAGTATAAGCAAAATTTTAATCAACTTAAAAAAAACATATTTTTTTCAGCTTCTAACAAAGTTTTAGCTATTTTGGATTACTCTGAACAAAAAAGGTCCTTAGTAACATATTTGGGTAGTATTCGAATACTCGGTATTTTGAATCTTGTTCAGAATACATTTGGCAGGTATTCAAATACTACTCGAATACATTTGTGTGTTTGGTATGTGGTATTCGACTGAATACTTTCATGGTCAGTACTCGGTATTCCGGATTCTAAATACCGTTTCTGAATTCCAATATTCGAATAGCCACTTTGTGTTCAAATCCCGCTATGATAATAATTAATTGGAATCCTGTTTAATCATACTGTTTGGCTATCTTTACGAATACTGCGTTACGATTTACGCAACTTAAGAATGTTAAAACACATTCGCGTTGTTTGGGGGTGGCACATACAAAACAGCTACGGAAAGCTGTTTTCTTTGTGTGGACGATGATGCCTTTGAATTCGCGATGCCGACAGTTCACTTGAGGAACGAGATTAGATTACGAATGCACTTGTGCTTGTGCAGTATTGCCATTCCATTTTATAATTAATTTTAATATCTGTTATATTTTGCGGGTGATACCAGATAAAGTAGTTACAAAAAGCTAGTTTTTTTTTTAATTATGTAGTGTTATGTACATTGTGAAACATTAATATATTATCTAGTTAAGTATTATTATATTAATTTTATAGAAAAATCTAATAGAAATCAAAAATTATACAATTAATTTGTCTAGCCTCACTGTGACTCTGTGTATCAAAATGTTATTTTAAGTTTAATTTAATATAGTAATGTATTTTCATTTTTTATATATATTTTTATAACTTAAGTACATAAATAAAAATTAAATTTGAAGTGCGCACGTATTATTTTTATTTGGAATATTCAAAAAGAATTCATATTTAAATGGATCGAGGTACTCAATACATTTTTCTTTGTATTTGAATCTTGAGTCGTCGAATACAATTTAGAATACAGTATTGAGGATTCATATTCGAATACCGGATTTCAGTACAAGAGCCAAGTTCGCTTAGGCCCGTATGGTCAGTCGTCCCTACAATTGCAGGGCGCGTTTATGGCCTCCTTGATTGTCATACTGCTTCCTCTCCTTCAAAAATTTCTAGATTGCACCCGTCCCGTGTCAGCGTCAGCGCTCTCCTATTGTGAAGATATGTTTTCTTTTTAAATTGCAGGAAATTTCAGGCTGATAAAACATGATATAACTCAAAAGCAAGCACAATTTGATGCAAATAGATGTTTGTGACATAACCTCAAAATGGAGCGCTGACACGGAGAAGTAGAAAACTATGACAATCAAGGAGGCCATAAAGGCGCCCTACAATTGTAGGGACGACTGACGATACGGGCCTTAGTAACGTGTCTCGAAATTTGACCGTTTTCGAGTCGAGGCGAACTAAAACCTTAAAAAATGTCCATGTTTAATGCGTAAAACTCGGACCGCAGTTATTACGTTTTAGGTTGCCAAGTATCTAAGTTGAAGTTCAAACCTTCCTCTACAAGACTTCGAATAATGTTTTAGGCTCAGGATATTTTAAGGCATTGTTATTTGATTGTTAATCACGGGGGCCAACGTGCGCCTCCCCTTATTGTATGAAATATTTTTATTACGCAATCTTTCGTCTTTCACCTCCCACACCACTGGGGTATTGTAATCACGAAAGATTTCGAAAATGAGATATTATATTTTTCAGATGTTATATGACATGTGCCGACAGGGGTATTACGTATCTTGGGCAGTGAAATTATGTCGGCTTTTTTCACATTATTTCGGTTTTTTGTGACATTATGTGGGTTTTTCTACAAGATGTCAACTTACAACTAGTTCTTGTTCACTTGATGTGCACTCGTTCTGTAGCTGTACGTGTTGCCTAAACGTGATGACGCTTCAGCCATCAATGTTTGGCGCTATAAGTTGTAAACTATAGCTGGAAGAAAACAGCAGTGCATAGGTGCATAGTGAGGATATGTGTGCTAATAAGCTGTGTTGATGATAATTCCATTGATGTCTTGTCTCAAATCCACTCACCTGAGATGTATGCAGAGCTAGAAATTAGTTGCGCATCCACTTTTTCTTATGCATCGTGGAAATTACATATGCAAATTTGCTGAATTGATAGAGATAAGAAAAGAAAATCCCTGGTTGGTTGGTGAGAAAATATGCCACAGGCAGAAATATTTATGAAACGTGAAAATGTTATTACAATTTACATTATTTTTTATTTCCAGTCATTTAAATTTTATTGAAATTTGTTTTGTGATGTCAAGTGGAAAATACAAATCAGCGCCTAGATGTGAGGCTCTGCGAAAATGTTTTGTGTGTGATGCGTCATTCCTAATTTTTCTATGATGGGGGAAGATGGTAATTTATAACTTTGCTTGTAGATATACCTCGTGGGCAGCATATTCTGCAATAATTTTCTCACATAGCAATTATAACAGATTTTATACACATGCAGACCAATACACACAATCACCACACAGTCATGCAGATGCGATCGTGCTACTCAACCAATTCCCTTTCTGTGACATCTTCTTAGCTATTACTCTACACACTATCTCGGCATTCTGCAACCAACAAAGCATGCTGAGGAATGAGCGAGTCGTTAAGTCATTCCTCCATAGATGACACTTTTGGTGACGCTCAGAGCACTTATAGCTGAATAAACTATTTGCACACTAGGAACTATTTAGTCAGCAAGTCGATATTTTGTCGTTTTTATAAAAGTGGCGAAGAGTAATTGCTAGACATTATTTTCAATTTCCTAAAATGACCGCTGGGTAAAATTTCAAAAAATTAAACGCTTTCATTTTGAAAAACTTGATAATCAACATACTCTTTAAATATACTAAGTGACATATAAATCCGAACACCCAGTTTAAATGGTTTTATTTTAATAAAAGTTGGTGATTGTATTTATCTTACTGTAAATAACAAGTGAACAAATTTTCAGCTTTATCAGTTGGACATTCCGGTTTTTATACTGCTTTTTTTTTAATTCACTAACGCTCTAAAAATGAATATTTCAGCCGCAGTTAAGAATCAACGTTGGCGGATTTTGGTTCTTGACATCCTTTACGATCGGTTACGATGCCTAGAGTACGGAGACCTGTACGATTTCGTCAACTTAGTGAGTTTGATAGGGGCCGTATAGTAGGAGTTCGGTAAGCTGGACTTTCTTTTCGGGCAATTGCAGCTAGAGTGCAAAGAAGTGTAGACAATGTGGTTAGGTGTTGTCAGGCATGGCTTCGAGAAGGCCGTACGCAAAGAGCAAGGGGCACTGGACGCCGTCGTAGAACAACAGACCGTGAAGATCGCCGCCTAAGATTATTGGCCTTAAGGGACCGTTTCTCCACTACCACGTCCATTGCAAATGAATGGTTTGCAGAACACGGAATACCTATTGGCATGCGAAGTGTTTACCGACGAATGAGAAGTTTTGGCTTGTTTTCATACCGGCCACACTGGGTCCTCCCTTTAACTCGAGAACACCGACGAAATTGCCTTGAGTGGTGCAGACAACGGTCACTCTGGGATCAGGAATGGAACAGTATTGTCTTTAGTGACGAGTCTCGATTTTGTTTAGGCATGCACGATGGTCGTGCCAGGGTTAGAAGGCGACGTGGTGAAAGAAGGAATCCACAGTTTTTTGTTGAAAGACATGTTCATCACACTGTTGGAGTTATGGTTTGGGGTGATATAGCTTATGGTTCCAGGCCACCTTTAATCTTCATCAGAGGTAACATGAACGCGCAGCGTTATATCCACGAAGTTCTAGAACCCCATCTTTTACCCTATCTTGACACCCTGGCAGATCCAACTTTCCAACAAGATAATGCCCGACCACATGTTGCAAGAGTCACAATAGACTTCTTTCAACATAATGATGTTACATGGTTACCATGGCCACAAAGATCTGCCGACTTATCCCCAATTGAGCACGTGTGGGATATGATGGGTAGGAGATTGCTCAATTTGCAACGTCCTCCTCAGACTCTAGAAGCACTTCGAGAGGAGTTGGTGGTTGCCTGGAATGAGATACCACAGGAGGACATTGACCACCTGATCAGAAGCATGCCTAGGCGCGTTGGAGAATGCGTAGCACATCAGGGTGCATCCACACATTATTAAAGGTCAAAGGGCTTTAAAGCAGTGCAACCATTTTGAAATTTTTATCATTTACTTATTATGCTTCATTAAGTACTTATACAAAATTTTATTAAAATAAAACCATTTAAACTGGGTATTCGGATTTATATGTCACTTATTATAGTTGTGTTGACTGAACAATTTCCAGACTTCCTTTGCTATTTTTCCATATTTTAGTTAGATTGGGGTGGGGGAATGGTTGAATGTCACTTCAGCAAAAGTCACAATTTCTGCTGGCAACACCGATTTCCATGATCTTGATTCCATTTGAAAGTGTATGCACCTGCGCTCTGAATGAATGCTCAATCCTGTCAGATTAGTTTTGTTTGTGGCAGCTAGATGGCGCTGTGTGGGTGTATCAGCGTTTTTTATGTTTTCAAAATTTCAAATGTAACGGATTTTTTATATTGATCAGCTGGCGTCCTTTATTATTGGTCCATCCGGTACATTCCGAAAGACCATGTCACTCATTTAG